GAGAGAGAGAGAGATACTTACACACAGAGATATATATATCCGTGTGTGTTTATGTATGTATATATGTGAGAAGTAGGCAATGATAATTTGATATATATATAGTATCCATGTGTGTATCTATATGTGAGAAGTAGGCAGTAATAATGTGACCAAAAATCATGTCAACTAACTATGGGTTGTCAGGTCTTGGACAAAATAAGTCATCTGGACACTTCATTAATTTTTTATCTTGAGAATAATATTAGCTAGTGTATTTTGAATCCCTGATCAGTGACTGCAGCCTCACCAGGTATTTTCCATACTCCATCCTGTTCCACACACCAGGTGTAGGTTCAATACAGTGCCAGAATTAGAGGAGACAGGAAAGTCTAAAGGACATTGTGGAAAGATATCTACTAACCTCTCTTCACACAATTAAACTTTCAGATTCTCTGATAAGATAGATACCTGTCTTTGAATCTCAGCTCCACCATTTCACCAGATACAGAAAATTTAATTTCTTCAATTTTCCTAGATGTAAAGTGTGGATAAATGATACACTCACTATAGGAAGCATTGTGAAACGAAAAGAGGAGATGCACATTAAGCGATTGCTACAGTATCTCTTTCTTTCTTTTTAAATTTTTTACAGTACTAAGATTGAAGCCAAGGCCTTATTCATGCTAGGCAAGCACTCCACCACTGAGCCACATCACCAGCCCTAAGTAAGTGCCCAAGAAATGAAAGTTTTTCTATTGCAGAGTTAGGTGAACTTTTTTCTGTCAAGAATCAGATTATAAATATTTTAGTTCTTCTTGGCCATTGAATCTCTACCACAACTACTCAACTGCCCAATTGATTTATTTATAGACCCTGAAATTTAAATGTTATAAAACTTTCACATACCCAAAGTATTATTTTTCTTTTATCTTTTTCAACTATTTAAAAATACAAGAATCATTCTTAGGTCTCAGTCTGAGGGCCGTAGTTTGCTGACCCCGGAGCCAGCATTCAGAAAACCTTTGCTTCCATTCCACATTAGCCATAAGCAAGGTTCTCAGGTCATCAGCTCTTGTCCCCAGAAGAATATGCTTCCCTCTCTAATATCTCATCATTTTCTATCTTCCACTACAAAATGACAATGTGTCCTCACTGGGCTAAGTATTTCCAGGGAAGTAGACAACTTTTTTTGGTACTTCCAACCTTAGTAGAGGTGAAGAGGGAATTTTTGGAAATCTGATATCCACAGCCTCCTTACCAGTCATCTCTTTTACCCTCCCACTATACTTATCCAAACCTATCTGCCTTCCTATTAGAACATCTTCATCACTCTCATCCCTGTGCCACACGATACCCTCCCAACCTAGACCCCATGACAAATTGCTTGAAGCTGGACTTGCAAGCAACATGCACTCCCTTAAAGTTAGAAAATTGTAAAGTGATAAAAAGAGGGAAACACACAGCCTGGTTAAGCCCCCTTTGTGAGCTGTCATTGCCACCTTTTTATCAGAACCATATTAGTGGATGACCTCTGAAATAAATGAACATTGCCATCCTAATGCAATCCGAAATGTCAGCCAGGAAGTTCATAATGCATGAAGACGTGCATTCTACAACTTTCTTGGAGAGCAACTTGGCAATATGTATCAAGATTTTTAATGTTTCCAATCCTTCTGACTCGGTAGATGACCTTCTAGGAATGTGCCCTAAGGATATAACCATGCATATCCAAAAAATTTGTTTTGAACAAGATGTTCATCACAGCCTGTGTCCCTCAGGCTAAAATCTTAAGAAAGACTAACTGATTAGCATAGTTGGACCTGTGATTTTTTTTTTTTCTACTTGTGTCCTACCTCTGATCCAAACAGCTATGACTAAAAGGGTTTGAAGGGTCTTATGGTAAACTATTGGTCCCTTTCAGGAATTATGAGTAGGAAGGCAATAGTTCTCACACAAGATTTAACAAGATAGGAAAAGAGTCACAATATAAGGGCAGGTGAAAAAGCCAGATGTCAACTGTCTATATTATAGATTTTAACTTAAAAAATATAAGGTAATTCAAAAAGAAGTAGTTATTTGCAAAAATGAATTATTCAGAACAAGATTATATGTGATACAAAATCTACTTGTTAAAGAAACTTCGAATGTTATTTCTCTACTTGTACAAGTGTTTCATTTATGTGCCTCTCATGCCACACTGCACCACACTGTCTAATTCATCCCAGCATATCACTGCAAAACATTAAAATGGCAGCCATGATTTATTCCTTCATTTCCTTAAGGCAATGAAGAAAAAGTGGTACAAAGACAGGTTTTTGACATATACCCACAAGTAGAAATTGCACAGTAATCTGTTCAATTATTTTTAATTAACATGTAGATAAGTAACACAAACACACATATACATTTTTTTTAATAACCACATACACATATAGAGAAAAGAAAGCATTAGAAGGAAGTACACAAAAATGCAAATGGTTATTATCTCTGGGCGATAAGACTACTATTGTGCTTTGCTTCCTTCTTTGTATTTTTCTGTATTTTGTAGATTGGCTTTCTCCATAAGTGAGCATGTATTTCTTTTATAATACTAAACAGTAAAGGCTTTTTTTAAAGATACAAGTATTAATATTCTTTAATCAAAATAATAACAATAATGACCCCACCAGGCCCCATCCCTAAGCCCCCACCTTCCCCTTCTGTTCTCTTTTCTCTGCTCTTACATATGGAAGGTGGACCCTCACTGTTGGAGGAGAATGCAAAACTATTTTAATCAGCCCTGAAATGTACTCTGTGCTGATGGCTGACACTTCTACAGATCCACTTTCTTCTCTTCACCCCAAGGCTGGTGACCATGTGGACAGATCTGTAGAGATCTGCTTTAAATGGGCTTATTTGCCCTTTAGGATCAGTGGGATTTGGCCAAGACAAGGTGTAAGCCAGGGGGATTTTCAAAAGCCACAGCTCCACAGCTCCTGTCAGGCAGCTCGTCTCTTTCCTCAAATCCTAGTCGCTGGTTTTTACCCCTCCTCTTCAGACCTGATGGCTCTCTGCTATCTCTGCTCAAGGGGGCTGCCCTATTCCTTGTAGAATTCCCTGAGTTCTGTCCACACCATTGAAATCAACCATTTATTATACTCTCCTTCATGACCTGACTTGAGCAGCTGTATTTCCTGTGGAGTTGAAGACAAATGAATACTCACGTTGCTGTACACATCCTGGGTCCATCACACTCATCCCTGTCACACTCATCCCTGTTTACATTCAACCTTCGCACCCTCCTGGGATCTCCCACGTGGCATTCTCCCCACAAACAGAGTGGGCTCCTGGGATTCCCTGGGCCTTGTCAGACTTACTTTCCCCTCAGATCTCTGCCACTAGAATCAGGAAGTCGGCCTCTCATTTTTTATAAAAGCAATCCTCCTGTAGAGTCATGTTTCTAAATGCTACCCCAGTGTAGGCTCCCAGCCCAGACTGCGGGATACTCCAGGTAGGCAACCACTGTCTCTTTCTCCTTTCCGTTGCATTTTTCCAACACATTGTCCATTTTTATTTTAAATCCCCAAATTCAACCTTGAGTGACAGATTCGTGATTTGAAAACACCCTCAGCCTCTCAGGTGTCTAGATCATAAGCAGTTCGGTCTTATGCTCCTATTTACTTGTGTCTCCATTCACTTCAAATGTTGCTATACCTCTGCTTGTCACTGTCTCTACTAAGAGAGATCCTAAAAGGAAGTGGGAGGTGTTAGGAAGTAGGAGAGGAACCAGAGAATAATCTCAACCACACATTCTGGTGTCTGATTTACAAATTGCTTGTGACACTCACATATAAGAAATGTTCCTTCCTTACCTTTTCTAAATTAAATGAAATATGGATTCAAGTCTGCATATCTAGAGGCTGGAGGTGTCTAGGCGATTGGCTATCATCACCATTTAGCAGAAACATATAGAAACACTTGGTCTCCCATGACACCTGGAAAATGTGGGCAGTACTGGATCAATGCTTCTGTCCAGTGCCAATTCTCCATTGTCCACCTGACACTAGGCACTTTCTGGATGATTTGCTTTGACGTCCACCTGTCCACCTACAGGGAACTTCCCCACCAATCACAGGTTCTACTACTAGGACTGTGTCCATTATCTGTTCCTGTTTAACTAACCATCCCGAGCGTAATAGTTTATGACAACAATAATTTATTATAACTCATGATTTTGGGGGGCTGGCTGGTCTTCTCTGGGCTAGTTCATATGCAGCAGCTGTGTTTGTAATGGACTGGCTCAGATGAGACATGGAGGTGATGGGCCTCTCTTCTACCTGGTCTTTCTTCAGGATGTCTTCATTGCATGGTGGTCTCAGGAGACCAGGAAGGTAAGAACAGAAGTTGTATATTTCTCCTGAAGCCCAAAGCAAGTCATAAAGTCAACCCAGATCTCAGGAGATGGGAAATTGATTCTTGCTCTTGATGGGAGGAGTGACAAGGTCACATTGTAAAAGGATATGAAACATGGAAGAGATTATGCTATTTTCCAAAACAATCTACCAGAGAAGAGGGAGGTAAAATGTCTCCCCAATTTTTCTTGATACACCTTTAACAACAACAAAGATACCATTGATTTTTCAGATTATTTTTCCAAATTACTATTTTTATAACAAGCTATATTCTACAAGAATACATACGATATTATAATAAAAGAATAATAATTAAAAATTAAACTAACCCATCTTAAAAAAATAACATTCCCAATACCTTGGAATACTTTTCTCAAATGCTTCTTCACAATCTGTCCCCACTTCCCTACTTGCCTCAGTCATAAACACCACCCTGTATTTCATACTAATTATTCCCTTGTGTTCTTTATATTTTTATCAGATTGGTACACCTAAACTTTATATTTCTTAGTTTTGCCTGTTTGTTGAAATGCACATGAAATAAATCATTGTGACTTGATTTTAGCACTCAATATTGCTTTTGAGATTCATCCATGTTGATGTAAATAGCCGTAGTTTTTTCATTTTCACTTTTATAGAGTTTGCCTTTGTGTAAATATACATTGATTTATTTATACATTTTACTGTTATTGGACTTTAGGTTTTTCCATTAAAAAAAAAAAAAAAACATGGGCGAAGCTACTATGAGCATTCTTTATGTCTTCTCTTCAGTATGCATATGCAGTTGACCATCTAGGGTATAAAGTAAGGTAAGTCCTAAAAGAACCCTTGGGTTGTGGTGTAAACAATGTTGCTTTGCTAGGTAATACCAAACTTTTCCCCAGCCTACCCCCTTAGAATCATGTGACTGCTCTCTGATTATTCCACATCAAGGCCAACATGTGACCCTTTAATTTTTTTTTCTGATTTAATGATCATAAATTAGTATCCCATTATGGTTTTATTGGATTTTTCACTCAATAGTGGGGTTGAGAGTGTTTCCAAATAGGCTTATTGGTCATTTTTGTTTGTCTGCTTATTATTCTGTTTTTTTTTTCATCTGTTAATATATTTTGCCCAATTCTATTGAATTGTCTTTTATTTTTATTTTTCTGTAGGTACTGGGGATTGAACCCAGGGGCATTTTACCTCTGAGCTACATTCCCACCCTTTTCATTTGTTGAGATGGTGTCTCACTAAATTGCTGAGGCTGGCTTCAAATCCTTCTATCCCACTATTCCAAGTCAAGAATTACAGGCTTACACCACTAGGCTCAGCTACCTTTTATCTAGTCTTAAGGATTCTTGAATACCTCAGTACTGTCTTTGTTATATATATCAGGGGGAAAAAATCTTCTCTCCAAGTTAATGGCTCATCTTTTTATACTTGCCAAATTAAGTTGCTCTGGTATGCTTCTAATTATATTCAGAATGATCCCACTTCTCTAACTTCAATCACTTGTCCTTGAACCACTTTTGTATACTTCAACTTCCTTCCTTGGGGGGTGGGGGGGGTGGATTCCTTTTTATCAGGCTAGAGATTCTTCCGGTAGCCCCACCCATTCCCAACTGCCCAGAAAACTACAGCTTCCTAGAAAAATCCTAGTTCCAAGTTGAGCCACGAATGGGTCAAAGAAGCCACTAAAGGAGTTGGTGAATGGAGTCAGGCAATGGAGCAAGGAGACCATCCAGCCCCACTGTTAGTTGATCAGCAGACCCACAAACTGTAGAGAGGTGGGAGGTGGAGCATAAGATTGGAGTCAGCTGGAATTATACATACATTGGAGAACTGTAACAGTGGTCCACTTTATGCTTTAATAAAACCCTTGCTACTCTGACACTGCAACTTATTTTAAAAATAGACATGTTTTTTTCTCTCCCTCTCTCCCAGCTCCTCCCTAATCTTTCCCTCTCCCTAATCTCAGGGGAAACAGGATTACCTTTCTTCCCCATCCTAGGCAGAGTTATCTGTTCCTGAGTACACAGCCACCATAGGAAGGAACTAATCCAGACTTGGGGATGGTGCCTAAAGATCTCAGAAATAACTATCTCCCAAATTAACAAGTGAATTACAACTCCAGACAGAGAACACATGGAATGCAGCCTTGGAGTCACCTCTTTAAAAGCCCTCTGTTCCTGCTGATAGGGAGAATCACAGCCTTTGGGACAGGAGTCTTCTGTGTGTCTCCTTTGCTAGCAAAGCAATAAACCTTCTTTTTCCTTTTTCTCAAAGTTTTGTCTTTGTTATCGGATTAGTATCAGGGACAAGGACTGAGCTTTGGGCAACAGAACCGCCTCTCTTTCACCCTTCAGACTCAACTGCTTTTCCTGTTCTCCCCCTTGCTCCTTATTCCTTTTCATTTCTCTCCTTTGGGGTGGTTCTGTTTGCAGTCTATGGCAAACGCAGGGAAGCACGCATAAGATATTTTACTACCACTTGGACACCAAAACAAGTGTTCAGCTAAAGCCTCCATGGGAACTTGCAGTCAGGTTTGACACTCCTGATATTCCACAGCCTAAAGGTCTCTCCTGACTTAGACCTTTCAAAGCATTCCCCTTGGTAAAATACCTGTCTGTGAATTGCATTTTGTTTATTTCCCCCTACATGTTCAACAAGAGAAATATGAGACTCTACGTCCTTCTGAACTTTCCCAAGCAAACTTCAGAGTCACCTTGGAATAATCTTAGGTCCTTTTCCTCTAACTCTAAAACCTCACCAATTCCCCATAAACATAAGATATTTTAGAAATTATAGGGCTTGCCATCTAGGTGGAAGACAGGATATAGGCACCATGGCATGCGTAAAATATTAAAAGACATCTTTCTGCCATCTCAGAATATAAAGATATCTATAGTGACAAGCTTAAATAACAGATTTTAAAGAGTTCAAGAAGATCTTCAGACTAGCAACTAAGCCCTCACAACTAGGGCTTTCTACATTCAGTGTCTGGGACATAATGATTGGTTCATAAATTTTGATTCAATAAAAGGCACCAAGCGCCTCCCTTGGAGACGCACCCATCAGCCTCCTGGTCTCCCAGCACGGCACCACCCTAAGCCTGTCTCATCAATATCACTGTCTCCATCTCCACTTCCCTTTCCCTCCTTTGGCTTCTTCCTTTCCCACACATGCCACGTAGCATCAACTTCTCAGATTAAAGTTGAGATTATGCCTTGTTAATGCAGATTGTTTATATTATGCTGATTGCTAGGGGAAGACTGTGCTCTCAAGTGGCTTCCAAAGAACAGCCAAGCAAACAACCCAGAGGCCAGGATCCACCACAGAAAACTGAACAGAGACAAATACAAGAGCTCCATCAATTACCCTGCCACATTGGCTGGGAGAAAGCTCCCATGGTGCTGGTCTGAAATGTCACTGGTGACAGTACAAGGTGGGGTCAAAGGGTAGGAGCACACTCTTGACAGCAGGACATCAGGTCTAGCTCAGGCTGGGACTGGTGAGATTCACCGAGGACTGTGGAGCCCTGATCATCTGCAGTTGAGAGCTGCCTGCGGGCTGTGTGTGGACTATATCGCACATTGCAGCCTAGTGAATAGGATAATCTGGTGTCTGGGAACTTCCAGTGGACATTTCCTCTGGTTTACTCCCCAGACACATTGTGAGCCCTATTCAAGCTCTGCCAAAGGTCCCACACAGCACTGGAGATGGGGTGACCTGCTGTAGCCGCACAGCTCTTCTGAGATGGGTGTGATCTGCCAAGAAGCCAATCAACCTGCTTACTGCAAGACATGGAAGCAAGACTCCACCCCTGTAACTTTATCCCTGCCTTTGGTATACCCCCTGAAATAAACCATGAGAGCCATTTTCTAATTGTCTAGCTCCAGCTCCTGTGTGGACTGGACCTGTCAAGCCCTCCAATCCTTTAAAATTAATTCTGACTTTGTCTTTTGTTCTTTATTAATTATTCTAGACTTTTTAATTTCTTAGGTGGCTTATACTCTCCTTGGCAGGAAGAAGAACCTCTAAGGAGGTGCTGGCCGCCTCCCCATAATCTGCATCACACATTTGGAAATGGATCACATGTTGCATGCTGCACATTCTGATGGTGTCATCTTATGTCTCCATTGAGTTCTTGAATTCTTATTTCTCTTATATGGTTTTACATCCTGCCTTGCCAACCACACTCCAGTTCTACAAGAGCAGGAACCCAAATATATGCCTCCTTATATAACACATAGAACTCTACAGGTGCTTGATAAACACCAATCCAATGAAATCGTGTCTTTTAAACACTTAACTCCCTCTCTTTCCAAAGGAAGATACTAATTATTCTAGTCTTTCTTCTCTTATAGATGATTCCTCCAACACTGACTAATTATAGTTCCTCTTTTCCAAATAATCTTTTCTATGTTCAAAGAAAGGTATTTCAGTTAAAGAAGAGTCATGAATTTAGAGAAGCAGATATTTAATTTTTTATGAAAGACTGTTTTTAATTTCCTATACCAGGTTAATGAGACTGTGCATTTTCTTGCCTATCTTAGGAGAAGTAACATATCTTTTCAGGGATCCATCTAAGCAATGTATGTAGCTATCAAGGTGTGGCCCACAACCCTTAAGGTCCCTGAGACCTACTTAAAAAATCATTTGCATTTGTCACTCTGCTGGATTAGCACTGACAGTGCAAAAGCAATGATGGGTCACACTGCTGGCTCCATAGCATGAGCAGTCACTATATTCTTCACCACCATACATTCAGTTTAAAAAAAAAAATTAAAAAGCCAATTTCACTTAGAAGTCCTTGATGAAGCTGTAAAAAAATATCAATTATATTTAGTTGTGACCCTTGAGAACATGTCTTTTTAATATCCTGGATGACAAAATGAGAACCATACATAAATCACTTCTGCTGCATTCTAAATATGAAGGCTGTCTTGAGGAAAAGCACACATGCAATTGAATTGTGAGTTACATTCATTGCTTTTTTGCATGGAACACCAGTTTTATTTGAGAGAATGACTGACGGACAAATTTTGAATATAGAATTTTGGCAGACTTTTACTCCAAAATTAATGAAGTGAGCCTATCATTTTAAAGAAATAAAGCTGACAGTATTTGTTGCCAATGATAAAATTCTAGTTTTTAGGTAAAAATTAGAAGTTTAGAAAACTTGTATCACTTTGAAAACTGAACAGCTTCTAAATGCCTACAGACTTTTCTGATGAAATCCATCACGATGGGTTTCATCAGAAATCCTACACAGTTTATATTATAGAATAAAACATATCAACCTTAGGAATGTCTACAGAATATGATGGAACAATAATTTCCAAATGAATAATTCACTATGTAACAAAAATTTAAAAATTTTTAATTATTCTAATTGCAAGATAAGCCAGTGGATTTTAATAGAACATGAACATTAATGTGGCTTCAGATTCTCCATTACAACTAACCTCTAAACACCTACCACTTGTTGAGTTTGGGTACAGTCTCAAAGAAGGATATTTGCAATTATCAAAAAAGAATGAAAATATATGCTTTTTCCAACTACCTATCCATGTGAAACCAGAATTTCTTCATAAACTTCAATTCAAACAGGACTTCAACAGCTTGAATGCAGAAGCAAATATAATCTTTCCAACCATTTTCTATTGTCATACATGACAGAGATTTGCAAGAATATAAAACAATGCCATTCTTCCCATTATTTTTTATATGGAAAATATAGTGAATTAGATTTGTCACATTTATATTAAAATGTAATAGATTTGTTGTGATTTTTTTTAAAATTAACTAATACATGACTCTTTGGAGCCTTAACAAATCTTAATTTGGGGTCCTGGAACCAAAAAGTTTGAGAACCACTTACTGGTAGGGGATAAAATCTTAAAAGGATAAACTCTATAAAGTAGAACAAGATTACTTTGCTTACACTGAAGCTTCTATGGTATACTTAGAGTAGTCTGCATGGTTCTATTAAAGAATATCTTGTTGAACAGGATTGCCCTCTTTATTTATTACCCTTAAAGGCTTTACAGAAAACTTGTCTCAAAGACAACCTCCTGCCCTTGACTATACATTGCCCTTGGTTTCACAAAACCTCTCCATGGGATTGTCAGTGGCACGATCTAGTCAAAGGCTGATGATAGTCCAAATACCCTACATTCACAGTTCCCCTTCTCTGTGAATGCATGTCACCCCTTGAGAATTTGTAAGAGATTTTTAAAGATGATTTCTCCTTATACTCAGAGATGATTCATGTTAAAATAGCATTCCCAGTTCTATATGATCTTATAATTCCTACCTTAAATTGCTGATATAAATTTGATCTGAGAAAAGTTATACCTTTTCCTGTTTTTGTCATTCATAGAATCTCTCCCTTCTCCCTTGAACCTTCTGACCTCCAGTGGCTTCTTTTATTACTCTAGTATACAATGTACAATTTTTCCTCCAATACCTAATTTATAAAATTGGTGACATTTATTTCTCACCAATGAATTTTTAAAGTCTTCATATCTCCTCTGTATTATTTGTTTTAAATGTAGCTACAGGTATTTATTTCAACCTAGCAGTTTAGTCTTATTTTCTTTTTAAAATTAAGCATCGTAATGTTTTTTTTCCCCTTATTTTATTCTCCCTCTAGATTCTAAATTCAATTATATGGTCACTGTTATATAACAGTTCACCCACAACTACTTTCTGTAGCTATTCCTGATCACCACTCAAGACAAAATGGAATATGATTATTTCCTTGTGGATTTAAAGTCTAACTTTTTCTAAAAAAAAAAAAATAATAATAATAATTTGCATTACCCCTAACTCCTTATTTCTATAGTGGGTCCTGATCCAAAAGAATTACTACAAAACATATAACTCCTTCTTTGGGGAGAACTACCTGGTTCTTAACACTTGATCTAATTGTTTAGCTTTCCACTTATTGTAACATATCAACACAGTTTCATCACTGGCAATAAGCACGAGTCAAACACACACTGGGATAAGTGCTGTTGGGGGTACAGTTATGGAAGACAATATTAAGGACTGAACACACAATGGCCTCTGACTTCCAGGAGCTCAGTCTAACAAGGAAGGCAGAGTCTGGCATGAACAACTCAAATTGGCACAAATGATGCTTTGGGAGTTCAGAAAGGGCAGCAGGAACTTCTGGTACAAGAGCTACATTCTTGAGGTTCTCCATCACCCTCTTTGCACAGCCCTTGTTCCTCTGAGCTATACCTATCTGGGCAGTTATGTGACTCGGGTAACAAGAACAAAGATGTTTGCATCCATCCGCCTCAGAGGTTATATTTGACACCCTATATTTCCCAGCATGCTCCTCTCTGATGGGTACATTAATTGTTGTCAATCTGCTTGGAACCCCACTGCACACCCACACTGTGAACATGCCTGCCAGAGCCCCTGGGGCTGGGCTCTGCTTCCCTTGATGCCATTACTGAGAAAGTTTTCTCTTATATATTTACACACCAATGCTCACATACAGATTTTTAAACAAAATATTATACTATGCTAATTGCTTTAAAACTTCTTCCAATAATAATACATTGCCAAATCAATTCATAAAAACTCTTCTTTCCTTTTCATTTGATTCATAGTATTTCATAATATGTATATATCAGACTTTATATAATCATCCCCCTACTCAGAAATATTTACATTATTTCCATATTTTTCATTTTAAGACAATACACAATGAACATCTTGAATGACAAATTATGCATATTTTGATACATAATACTGAAACAAGGTCTAAAAATTCTTACTAATCATGCTGTTCCTTGAATACAATGTTTCTACCTTTTTCTATTTGTCCATCCCCATAATTCATCAAAAGCTTTTTGTATCCTCAACTGATACTATGTATCCTTGTTGTATCTTTAATTCCTAGCACAGTGCCTAGCACTAAACAGTTTTCTAGTAGGCTGGAAGGAGGGAGAAAGGGAGGAAAGGAGAAAATAAGTGAGGAAGGAAGGATGGACAAATACTTCAGTGCATTCATTGTCTTTTTATCTGCCATCTGCATGTCTTCAGTATGACTTTTCTACACTCTCCATGACAGCAGGTTGCTTAAAGAGGTCTCAGTTTAGTCTGGGAGCCCTTCTATAGTGATAGAATGTAACACAGCAAATTCTTTTCCTTGGCTTTGGAAGACCTAGAATCAAGAAAGAGCTCAGATGTTGTAGATTCTTTGCAAAAAGGGCTACCATCATTCCTATGCTTTAGTCATCCATTCATGTGTCTTTAGTCTTGGCCATGTAACTTGTTTCAGCCAATGGGACAATAGAAAATGGACACAAGCAAAGGCTTAAAAAGTATTTATATATTTGGGCTTATTTTTCTTTTCTGGCTGCTTTTGGGAACCCTGAGACCACCATGTGAGAATGTTACAATTTGAGCTAGACTATTGGAGGTTTAGAAGTCACGCGGAGCTGAGGCAAGCTTCTCAACTAAGGAACCATCCCAATAACCAGACCTATCAGTGCTGCTATCTGAGATTGTCAGGGCCCCAGCCAAGTAGACTCCTGACTAAGCTCAAATCAAAAGAAACACTCACAGCTGACACAGAATTGCATGAAATAATGAATGTATTTCAAGCAACTATATTTTGAAGTTTTCTTTTTAATACATCAACAGCTAACTGATATACAGAATTTATTAGAAAATGACATCATGAGAAAGAAAAATTTATAACAATAACAAAAACCATACATAAAATACAATGATCATAAGTTCAAGGCTAGCCTCAGCAACTTGGTGAGAACTTGTCTCAAAATAAGACATTTAAAAAAGGGCCTGAGGATGTACGTTAAGCCCCCCTGGAACCCATCCCTAATACCAAAGATAAATAAATAAATAAATAAAAATTTAAAAACAATTTCTAATATAAACTTTTAACAAACAGCAACAGAAAACA